TCAACGCTGTGTTGGAAGTCCTTACAACGAAAGAACTCAAAGTCACTGGTCTTATTGGACACGCAGTGTCGCTGAATAAGAAGTCAGTTTCCGTTGGCGAGACCGAGTGTGGTATTGGTAACACATGTTCCTGGAAAATGTGTGGCATCGACCCTCAGGCTAGTTACGGCATATACTTCGAAATTGCCAGCCAAGGCCCTCCTGCTCATCAGCAGCAAGCTCCAGCAAAGGGTATGATGCAATTTTTGACTTATTATCAACACTCCTCAGGCCAGTTCCACCTCCGAGTAACAACAATCGCGCGCAATTTGAGTGGGCCAGCTGGTGATCCTGCCATCGCGCAGTCCTTTGATCAGGAGGCAGCGGCAGTCCTTATGTCAAGAATTGCGGTCTTCAAAGCCGAGGTTGATGATGGGCCTGATGTACTTCGATGGGTCGATCGTATGCTGATCCGGCTCTGCTCCCGCTTCGCCGATTACCGAAAGGACGATCCATCGTCCTTCCGGCTGGAGAAGAACTTCACCTTATACCCGCAATTCATGTTCCACCTGCGGCGAAGCCAGTTCCTCCAGGTATTCAACAACTCACCTGACGAGACCGCTTTCTACCGACATGTTTTGAACCATGAGGATGCCAGCAACTCTCTTGTCATGATCCAGCCCACTCTGGATTCATATACATTTGATCAGGATGGAGGGCAACCTGTGCTGTTGGATTCTGCATCTATCCAGCCCACTCATGTTCTTCTGCTAGATACGTTCTTTCATATTCTTATCTTCCACGGCGAGACAATTGCGGAGTGGAGGAAGGCTGGTTACCAGGAACAAGAGGGCTACGAGAACTTCGCCTCTCTTCTCGAACAACCAAAGGAAGACGCTCGCGTAAGTATCACACGGGGATGCACTCAAACCATGTCGCTAACATAGTACAGGACCTCATCACCGACAGATTCCCCTTGCCTCGTTTCATCGTTTGCGACGCTGGCGGTTCCCAGGCTCGTTTCCTTCTGTCCAAGCTCAATCCTTCGACAACCCATACAACAGGTGCTTATGGCGGCGTCGGTGCTACTACGGCGCAGACTATTTTCACCGATGATGTTTCGTTGCAGACTTTTATGGATCATTTGATGAAGTATGCCATGACCTAACACCCTTTGACAACTTCCATCGGCGCTGACTTTTCAATAGACTTGCTGTGAGCGGCACCACATAAGCGTAGAGACAGGCACGCTTGTTTTAATCGATATCTATTGAACCAAATTCGATTTCTGGCAAAGCCTCGAGTGATTTCGGAAGATCCTCCGAGTTCGTGCATCTTCTCTTAGCCAGCACTGCGAGAAGGGGAGCATAATGGGCGTTAAGGGTTATGAAGCAATTTCGCCCAGAAAAATGGGAATCCAATGATGAATGTTGGCCTCAAGAGAGTATAGTCGTTTGATGCAAAAATAGATACACTGATAATACCCCGATTCCTCAGTTTGCTCTTGTGATGCAAAGGCTAGAAAATCTTCGTTAAGCTTGTGATTACGGGCTCCCTATATTCGGATCCGCGATGTTTCCAGAGTTTCTTTATTTGTAGCAATAGTACTGGTATCGGAATTTCTTTATTTAGGACCCGAAGATCTATCTAGTAGATGCTACCTATTAGGTAGATACCTAACAAGGGATGTCGGTTTCGACGCAAGTGGGTGACATAAAATATGGCACACCAAAGCTCTTTTTACGCAAGGCAGGGACCTCTTTTTCTTATTAATAACGTTAAACCCAATAATAAGAAAGTAATAAATTATTCTACAATATTTAGCTTTATGTCATGTTTATTACTTAGTTAATTGTTTTAATATTATGTTGAAATTTCACCCTGGAGGTTCTGGGTTTGCCATGTTTGATGTCAGCCCCTTGCGATGGTCTAAATGGACAATGCAGGAACGCGAGCCCCGCTCCCCGCTGAAGCAGGGTGATTCGCAGCTTTCACGTGATATATTACCTAAGGGCAGCGGTGCCATTAGGGCAAAATTTTGGGGCACACATTCCCAAAAGAGAATTTTGTGATCTAGAATCCATCGTCAAACTCATCAAGACCTTCCACATCGTCAATCTCGGTACGCAAACCTCGAGCCTCTACCGATCCAAAATATCTCAACATGCGTAAGATACTCCTGTTTGCAACGATATCCTTTGTCGCCACTAACATGCCTCGCAGCTCCTAAGTTCGATCCCAACGAGGTCAAGGTTATGTGCGTTTGACCACCCAAGTTGGCAAATCAGACTTCCAATGCTGACTTTGAAATAGCCACCTTCGCGCCACTGGTGGTGAAGTTGGTGCCTCTTCGGCCCTTGCTCCCAAGATTGGTCCCCTGGGTCTGTCGCCGAAGAAGGTCGGTGAAGACATTGCCAAGGCCACTGGTGACTGGGTAAGAACTATCTCGAACGGAAGATGAATGTCAATTTTGCAAGACTAACCCATTGGGACAATAGAAAGGCTTGCGCGTGACTGTCAAGCTCACCATCCAGAACCGTCAGGCCGCCGTCTCTGTCGTTCCTACCGCCTCTTCCCTGATCATCAAGGCCCTCAAGGAGCCCCCCCGTGACCGCAAGAAGGAGAAGAACATCAAGCACACCAAGTCCGTCGCTCTCGAGGAGATCATTGAGATTGCCCGCACCATGCGCTACAAGTCCTTCTCCAAGGACCTGGCCGGTGGTGTCAAGGAGATTCTCGGAACTGCCTACAGTGTTGGATGCCAGGTTGATGGCAAGCCCCCCAAGGTTATCATTGAGGGCATCAACAGCGGCGACATTGAGAGTAAGTTTGCCTTGCTTTAGTGGCAGAAACACCAATATGGACATATTTGCTGACATATACTTAGTCCCCGAGGAGTAAATGGAAACGATTTACGAAGTCAAAAACTGGAATCGGTCTACAAAAAAATAGAAACTCGGGTAGAATTACGTGGATACGTCGACCCATGAGATCAGCATCATGGAATTCATAACCGAATTGTTGATCTAAACCCTGGTGCCATCGCCTTTCCTCAAGTGAAGCGCCCCACAATTGCTCTCGACACTGTCGCTACTTAGCACCCTTGACTTCACTCTGAAATGTACTATACTTCTCAGTGGTACTTTTCAATTTTTGTCCAAGGAAGATTACGTATTCAGCAGACCTCATACTCACCGCTGCATTCTGGGCTCGCCCCTAAATGGATGTCGCGGTCCATTGATTAGGCCTACATATCACTTCGTAGAGCATGTTGTATTGTAAATGTGAGCGGGCGTACCTTAGCTTTCCGCATTATTGCGTGGCGTCCGTATTTCCTGTCAGCACTATTGAAACGGCAAAAGCAAAACTGTGACAACGCCGGTCACAGGTGCTCGGCCCTCAGAGATACTCCGTGTTTGGAGAAAGGAAAAGTCGGTCTGTTTCCAAGACGAAAATGACCAGCATGTAAATTGTTCGTGTTCAAGCGACAGTCTATCGAGAGAGACCATGCACATTCACATCACTAAAAGGTGTGTCTTGTATGGTTCTGCCGCGTGCACGTACCTTGTACTCAAGGAATGTATATGGCTCAACGCACTGACACCCATACGATCCTTGAGGCCTGCAGTGATGCGAAGTCGGCCACGACAATGGATTTGCACATGGGTTGCACTCTATCTCACCGTTAGCATCTCAACCTATGGATATCGGCCAGTGAAGGGGTTTAATTCTCTCCTGCACACCCGCATTCGTAACGCATACATCATGGTTGCACTGTGTTGAAGTCAGCCGAAATAAGTGAGCTCTAGACTCTTCTAAAAATTCACATTCTCCTGCAACGCCTTACTCGCAGGTCTGTTGGACACCGGATAGCACCTGCTAGCTTGTAACTTGTAAGACATGCATACTGGGGTGGGGTCATGCATATGGCCCCCCCCTCCAGCGTTCCCAATGGGAAGTTAGGATGCCTTTTGATCCGAATCCAGACATCGCATTGTGCGGATGGTCAATAATAATACTCCAGGGTGACAGAGGCCTGGCCTGATTTAATTACTGGAAAGATGCGCAGGCGGACGCTCGCTCGGCGAATATGAGCCACGAAAGGCAGTCTGATGCTTTTGCTTGTGGGCAGCTGAGAGCCGCCTCTAGTTTCACTAAGGCACCCGCAATGACGCCTTGGGGCTGGCTTGATTATGGGGCAGGGGGGGAGCTGGAGCTTGCAGGAAGTGGCGGCGGTGCAAGCACTTCAGCACTCCAATCAGGGCCCTGCCAGTGGCATATATCACCTGAAGTGTCAGCCAGTCACCGCCCGAAGGTGCCAACGCTGGCACACCACCATGGGTCCCCCCAGCGCTTGGCAGCGGCGGACGGGTAGGCCATGGCATGTAGCTCCTCATTGCCTGGAGTCAGACGTGCCTGCCCGTGATAAAATGCCATTGACCTGGAGTAACCGCCTCAACGCTCCACTCCATACTTTACCTCTGGCTAGCACCCCTACATAGCGTGCTCCAACCCGCCATCAAAACCTCCCCACTTCTGATCTTCCAACATCTAATCTGTTGGCGACACCCGGTTTGAAGCCTTGCTGGCTTCTCAATCTCGGTTTTGCTCTTCTTCTTTTCGGTCCTCCCCTCCCTTGCGATCCGACTTGGCATCAGCGGTTTTCTTTGCTCCGCGCAGGCGTTTTGGCTGGAGGGCGGGCCCGATTGTTCTGCCACGTAAACACTGGGCGCACAGGATTACCTACGAGGAAGCCTCATTCGCCGTTCGATCTGCGAGACGATACCATCAACACAATCTGCGACCCGGCTTGTTGGCTAGGTGGTTGCCCACGACATTGCTAGCCCAAATGCGTCTCAGAGATTCATTGAGCCTTGCTTTCCACCGCGGGCGATGATACGTACTGACATCTCCTTCTTGCGATTTCGATGACTTGATTTGCCTTTCTCTCTGCTCTATATACCTGATCTTTCTCTATTTCGCCCGACCGTTCTTTTTGTTTCGCTTCCGAAAGCTTGGCCATGATACCCCTACTGCAAATCCAGCCTGGCGAAGTGCCACGGCCGACCAACATTGACTCCCATGTCCAGTTTCACGATTACACATATCCTCCCGCGTCACAGATGACCATTCGGGAGAACCACTTGTCACCACATCCGTACGCGTTCCCTATCCGGACGTCCCAGTCACAGCGGCGAGCTACTCCTTCCTCCAACTCTCTGTATCCTCCTCGTTCTGAGTTTCACTTGCGCCGAAAAACACCAAATGGTACCATAGAGGCTGCCTATGACGGCTCTCCCGGACCACCGAATCCTGGCCCTCCGCCTCATAAGCATATGATTATCCCCGCCGCAGCCCAGTCGATTCCACGTCTTAGAAACAGCACGGGTTTTCTGTCGCACCCGCAAACACTGGATACAGGGACATCTGCATCCCTTGGGCAAGGTCGATATAATGCAGATGCTGGGCCATGGCATGCCAGTAACGAATCTCCGGCGCCGTATGCCCTTCACGACATTACTCCGTCTAATTTCAATCCATTTCAACCTACCGTACTCGGGCCTCCGGCTCCCTTTGCTTCTTTTCCCAACGATTTCCAACCCGTTTTGCGGGCTAATGAATACAATGTCCGTGCTTTTTGTCCGCCCCCTATGCCGAGTGCAGACTTTCTGCCCTTTGGTCAGGCTGGCTGGCAACCTGGTGCTGTGCCATGGGACCCTCGGTTTCCGGGTCCGTTTGAATATCAACAAGGACCGTCGACGTTTCCCGGTCATGGTGCTCCCATCAGTGGGATGAATAGTCTTGGGACCTTGGGACCTCTAAACCCACCATATGTGCATGACCTCTTACCGGTATCGCACATGGATGCTGAGAGTTTGACTGCGGGATCTCAGGGAACAGTGGCCCATCCCGGCCGTTTTGACCATGCAAATGAAGGCCTGCCTCGTTTCAGAGAAAGGGCCCTTGCACAGGCTCATTCAATTTATCTTGAGTTGATAGCTGTTGCCCAGACGGCCCGAAAGTCTATTCACCCCAGGTCTGGAACTGGGCCACAAGAGTCATCTAAACTCTTTGTGTTCCCTAAACCGCCGAACCCAATATTTAATCCGGCCACCATGACTGCTAGGAAAAACTGGGGGGGACATGTGCCTTCATTCCAACCGAATCATCCTTTGATGTCTCATTATACAAGTCAATACGCTTTAACGGCCAACGTCTATCCCGGACCTCCTAGTGATCTGACCGTGCAGACAGGGCAGCAGGCCCCAGGAGCATATCTTAGTTATGGCAATAACTTGGATTTTTTGAATCGATCATCTCCTCATGCAAGAGCCCAATCCAGTCTTGATGTCTTGAAGAGCTTGTGCGAACAGAGTGGATGGAAATGGGTTGACGGCATGTTGATGGGAGGCTGTCTCCATTACGGACAGGAGAATTATCAAGAAGCTCTGCAATGGTTCTCAAGGGTAACCGCTGTTGATTCTAGGTAACACCTGGCCGACCCTCCTTGCGCTTACTCTTTGGATTACTTGGACTAACTATTTCATGACAGTAATTATGTGGCCTTGACGAATGTAGCAGCCGCTCTCTATTGCCTAGGTCGTCAGGAGGAGGCCGAGAAGACCTGGCTTCGTGTTGTGAGACTTCACCCTGCCTACTTAGAAGCCGCCGAACATCTCGTTGGACTTCTCTATCGGAAACGAAGTCTGGAGGCCATCGAAGTGATCACTTTCGTACAGAAAGCACTAAAGACACCATCTCGAGATCTACCTAAGACAACGGCGCCTATTGGCGGGCACTTGGTGAACGGAAAGACCGAACCTGTTGTTGGCAATCCACCACCCCAGTTGGGTCGGACAGAGCAGAATGCATTCTTCAATTCTGAGCCATTTCGGATTGATGGTGATCATGCTGAGAACTTCGGCTCCAGCGGATATGAACTACCTGATAGTGAGAATGGTAGGATGCTTGCATTGGTTCATGCAAAAGGCACCATGCTCTATAGCTTGAAAGACATAGAAAGAGCCTCAAAGGCATTTGAAGAGGCAGTCTTGATCAGTGTCGGGCGACATATTCATGGCATCAGGCATCTGGTTCAGCGCATCCAAACTGTGCTGTCGCATGCAGATAGATTCGCAGCACAGCTTCAGCAATCGCCGCAACTTACTGGACAGCCGCTACTTCTCCCTCCTGAAAAGGTTCGACACACTGCTCAAATGGTTTTCCCAGGGACTGGGCAATTACCAGGTCTCGTCTGTGTGCCGGACGGCCCACCAAAACGGGCTGCTACACAAACGACGAGCAATTCCCTACTGTCGTTGGCAAAGATATTCCAGGATGCCATGTCAAGTGGTGTTGCGGCTTCTACTCTCCCGCGACACACGACGGGCGTTGGTGATATCTTGGCCCTGTACTACTTATCATTTTCTCTACAAGAGAGTCCATCCACAGCCAATAACGTTGGAATTCTACTTGCCGGAGTGCAGCAAGCTGTTGCCTGTGCTGCAACTCGCTCCATGGCCCTAGGGCCTCAACAGCATTCTATACCTGGGGTACCTCCAGGAAGCGGCCTCGCCCTTGCATTGGCTTACTATCAGCATGGACTCAGACTTGATCCCAAGCATGTCCATCTACACACAAACTTGGGGAGCCTCCTCAAGGACATTGGTCAGCTCGACCTTGCCATCCAAATGTATGAGCAAGCCGTGTCGTGCGATCCAACCTTTGATATTGCCTTGACCAACTTGGCCAATGCTGTCAAGGATCGTGGGCGCATCAATGAAGCTATCACGTATTATAAACGAGCTGTCAAGTCGAATCCTGACTTCGCCGAAGCGGTATGCGGGCTTTTCACCGCCTTGAACTCTGTCTGCAACTGGAAGGGTAGAGGCGGGGTGCTCCTTGAGAACGGGAAATTCGATCGTTGGCATGTTGATGAGGAAGGCATGCTACAGGACAGCCGAACAGCGCAATGTGGAAGTGGGTTGACAAAGCGCGTTGTCGACATTGTCAGGCACCAACTTGGGGAAGCCTCGCGGTGGGGCGTGAATTCCCTTCAAGACGACTTCATTCACGTCTTGGTCAGAGAAATAGCTGATGTTTCAAACTTGAACCCAGAAGATATTCGCCATTGGCTGTACCGATGGAAAGGAAAGCCCTGGGAGGGATCGAGTTTACTGCGGCTTGTGGAGCGTTTGACACGAGTGAGGATGTGGGTTTGGTACCACGATCGACATATATCTAAGAAGAAGTCCATATCTGGCTACAGCCGCGTCCGACTACCCCCAAGGATCACAGTCCCGTCAACACCTACGGTATTGCCTTTCCACACCTTCACATGCCCTCTGGGTCCCAAGGATATACGGACAATTTCGCAGCGAAACGCGGTGCGCATCTCATGCACAACACTGCGGGCACCGTGGTTGCCCAAGACAATGTACCCACCACCGCCACCTCCAAGCCCTCACCTGAATGTCGGATACTTGTCGTCAGATTTCAACAATCATCCCCTCGCGCATTTGTAAGTGACTTGCCCCGTTCTTTCTCTTTCTCTGTCATAGCTCGGGCCCAGAGATACTGACAACTGCTCCCACCTTAGGATGCAATCCGTTTTCGGATTTCATGACCGCCGTCGTGTGCGCGCCTTTTGCTATGCCACAACCGCAAGCGACAAGTCTACTTATCGGCAGAAGATCGAGGAAGAAGCACCTGTTTTTAGGGATGTGAGTAGCTGGTCCCCTGACAAACTGGTCGAACAGATTGTTAAGGACCAGATCCACATTCTCGTAAACTTGAATGGATATACTCGAGGTGCCAGGAATGAGATATTTGCAGCTCGTCCCGCCCCTATCCACATGTCTTTCATGGGATTTGCGGGAACTCTTGGGGCCGAATGGTGCGATTATATTCTCGCTGATTCAACAGCAATTCCGCCAAGCACACTACGGCCATGGAGAGAAAATGTAAGGATCGAAAGCATTTTCCACGACAACAATGAGGGAGATGAGGACAACTGGGTGTACTCGGAGAACATCATCTTTTGCCGCGACACCTTTTTCTGCTGCGATCATGCGCAATCCTGCTCTCCGGACGAGCGCAATGTCACCTGGGAAGAAGAGCAGCGCCGCAGATGGGAAATGCGCAAGACCCTCTTCCCAAAGCTATCAGATGACGCTATCATCATGGGTAATTTTAATCAACTTTACAAGGTATGGCCAATATTCTCAACAGTAATTCGATACTGAACCCGGCAACTAACACATTGTTGGCAGATTGAGCCAACCACGTTTCGATCTTGGCTTCGGATATTGTCACACACTCCGAATGCTGTGCTTTGGCTGCTTCGTTTTCCTGAAGCAGGGGAAGCCAATCTCAAGGAAACCGCGAAACAGTGGGCGGGGTCGGAAGTCGCCAGCAGGATCATTTTTACGGACGTTGCTCCGAAATCTCATCACATCTCTCGAGCGCGTGTGTGTGACTTGTTTTTAGACACTCCAGAATGCAACGCTCACACAACAGCTGCCGATGTGCTCTGGTCCAGCACCCCGCTTCTTACACTCCCGCGGTATCCGTACAAGATGTGCTCCCGGATGGCGGCGTCAATTCTGAAGGGCGCATTGCCAAGGAACAGCCAAGGGCAAGCGGCGGCGTCGGAGCTCATTGCCGGCAATGAGCAAGAATACGAACAAATGGCATGTAGACTCGCTGGCGGGCTTAAATATCAGGTAGGCGGGTCTGGGTACGGGAAAGGGTACGGGCGTTTGGCAGAAATCAGGAAACTTTTATGGGACAGCAAATGGGAATGTGCTTTATTCAACACTCGCCGCTGGGTCGACGATGTAGAAACGGCGTACGAGCAAGCATGGCAAAGATGGGTTTCCGGCGAGAGCGGTGATATTCACTTATGAAACAGAAACATCGATCACTCCCAAGCTTCGTTGTAGAACGAAGGCGTAGGGATGGTTGAATACTTTGGCATTGTTTGAAGCACAAGTGAGCGGCATTGAGGGAGACACATCAGGCTCTATGCAACTGGCTAAGTAGGTTAGCTGGCTTGGGATCGGAGTATGGCGCACAATTTTGACGCGCAACAGACCTTGGAATCGCGATAGACGGAATACCCCTCCCCCCAAGGCGATATCGCCACCTTTCGATTTTTTTTGTTAAGCCATAGTATAGGTAGCGCATGTTAGCAAAGTGGCAATGGATGATTTGACGACCGTATTGATCGGGCGTAAAGCATTAACGAAGTCAAGAGACTAGGGAGTGAAGGCCATGCCAAGTGCGCGCCGTATTTGTTAAGTAAAGTCGTGGCTACTAGGGCAAGTCGTGCATTTCATAGCACACCAAAAGTATGTGCCGAAAGCTAAAAGAGTGAGGCAGCAACCTTACCAGCGCACAATCCCAAGTGCCGAGACTTAAGGTTAAGTTTGCGAGCTCGAGGAGAGGTACCGAGAAACGGCCCGGCTTGGTATTTGTCGCCCTGGTGCCTCGTCCGCCGCGGGAGGCCAGGCATCATACGTGTATACTTTGGCCCTACAGGAAGCATAAAATAAATTCCAGCCAGGTGGATGACGACGATGTCGCTGGGCCCAGATGGAGCCGGTGATCCAGACCGGTCGTTGCAGCAGGGCGCAGGAATTCAAACCAAGCCATTACGAGCTGTAGCTCGACCAACGGTTGGTTTTTTTTGCAAAGGAACGCGGCCATGAGGAAATAAACACCTCAATCCGTCTTGAGGCCAGCATGGTCAACACGAAGAAAAAAAATTGTTTCATGCTAAAAAGAGAGTTCGAGGAGCGAGTGGCGGCCAATGTCCCGGAGATGGAAGGGTCAATTGATGGAGAGAGCTTCGAGCTCGACACGGCTCGACATCCGCAATAAGGTTTCTCGACGGATATGTCACGCGTCCGCCTCAAATGAAACGGAAACAATATTTCTGCCTGAGACGTTGGTTCTGGGAGTAGACAGTTTCCCTATGGATCGCAAGGTTGGAGCCCAGTACGCTAGCCAGCTGTTACTAGGGGAGGAAACTCGGCGATATCTAATGATCTAGGCCGCAAATGATGGGAAATGTGCCCTATACGTACGTATTTGCTCGTCATAATGAGGTATGGACTGGGTGCCAAGTGCCTGACCCAAACGTCTGGACGTGCGCGCCGTTCAACCAGAGCTCAACATGACTTCGCCTTGCGCCCTCAGGCACTGTTGTGTTCAGCAGCAGATGAGAGACTAGTTGGCAGAAATGGGGCGTAGGGCTCCTCACAGGGCGCGTATGCATGCATTCGGTTTGTCTTTGCTTTGTTTAGGTTGAATAGCAAGATTGAGGCTCGCTTATCTCTCGTATTCTGCATGCTGGCTCCCCTCTGCATGCATGTCGTTGCTTCTTCGCTCGTGGAGAGCCGGGAAATCGGCAGCAAATGCGGTGGTTGAATCCATGGAGACCAGAGGCAATGAATGGATGGATGGATGGATGGATGGATGTCTGGTTGAAAGTGAGCGCTCGCACAACCAGCACCTGGAGCCAGAGGCATGGCCATGGACAAATCCGTCCCTCTGCGTCCCGCGCTGGATCCGCATCCGCATCGCCGTCAAAGACGACAGAGCAGATCCCTGCCCACAGCAGATCCCTACCCGCTTTTCGGTGGTACTCTAAAGGCACCCTCGCTCTTCCCTAACGCCCTGACCTTGGCCTTGGACCCAGCTGTGTGTGCCCCGTATTACCGAATGGGGTGGAGGTACAATGTCCGGTAATACCCCCTTCACGTCCCCTGGCTGCGCTGTGCGAACCCATGCTCAGATCACCAACTGGGATGTTTTCCACGTACCCTGCTCACCTGCTGGTGGGCATCGACTAAGGTTTCCTTTTGCCTTTCTTCGTCTGCTTCTTCCTCTTTGATTCTGCTAGTGCAATGCACTCTACCAATCTGGTGCAGTTTTTGCTTCTTTTGGGGCGGAATGAAATCTGAGGATATTTATATCCATCCATTCATAGCAGACACAGGATATAGGTACATTGATACATACCTGGGTAGCATTACCCTCCCACAGCGTAGCAGTGGCCCTGTCCCCTCAGTTCGTCTGGTCCCAGCACGCTGGTCGTGTCGCCGTGTCTCAGCATTGCTTTCATGCTCCTTTTGGGCCTACGTAAATTGCACTCCAGGTGCAATATTAAGTGCCGCCCATTGTAGAAAATGATGCATGTCAGGTGGAATAATTAAACTCTGTTGTCTCGTCCTTGACTTTTGCCTGTGTACTTTTCCTTGGGCAGGGGTTTTCTGCTATGTGCGCCACGGCCGTCTGTCTAAACGCCGCGTTAGAGCGTGAACAGACAGCCGGGCTTTTTGGATGGACGTGGAGGCAGCACTGGTAAGCCGAATAATGCCGACAGGCGTGTAATTTCTTCAGGCTCACGAGGCATGATGTGAGAGAGTTGGTTACGTCTAACTTCTGTGGCTGCTCGCCTGGTTGGTATGATGGCAGTTGACGGACGGGTGGGCTCTGGCACCGTTCCTGAGGCGAAATGTGATGATTGGCGAGGCCATCTGTGGCTCCGGGCTGAAGTAACAGCACAGTGTTCATAATTCTGGCCGTATCCTGCCTAGTTCGGAGCGCTATGACAGCCTGGTGTCTGTTTTGGCGTAGCGCTGCAGGTGGCACAGAGTCAAGTGAAAGACAGATCCAGGGCTAGGTGACCATGGGCACCCCCACTCCTTCGGCAGCTTGGTTTCATCCCCGACTGCACCTCTTCTCTTGCTGCACGCCCTCTGCTGTGTGGTTGCGATGTGTGATTTCGGGGCAGGGGGGGGCCTGAGAGGCTACAATCGACTCGACAGCAGATCATCGATTGTCCAGGTAGGTAGACAGCCAGGCACGGCCTCCCCACCGATTTACTTGCGTCGAGGTACCCAGCCTACGGGCTCCTCGTGGAATTGCATGGCGGAGATTAGTACTGCTACCCGCCGCCCAGGTACCAGCTGGCTCCTGCTCATCAACGTCGGCACTTTACCCAGCCAGCCTGGTGCTGGGCTGCTCCTGCCTCCCACCGGACATCCTCGTTCGGCTGTGGGCAGGTGCTAGGTACCGTGGGCAGAGTCGATGTAGTGAAATCCAGCCTGACTCTAACCTGGTCGGCAGTCACAAGTCCATGGATGCTAATCGTATTCAAGCTAAGGTTGAAGCCACAACTGCAGCACAAGCAAGATCCCGAGATCGCTCACCCCCTTCCATCCACCTTAAACTTACTCTACCTAGCGCCTCCGCTTTTAGTCACGCACTTACACGTTTACTTTGAGAAGGGCTTTTTTGTCTTCAACTTTCCACCCCCAGGAGCCTGTTGCCCTGCGTGGCAGGCCAGATCCGCCCGTGATCCACCGTGCTTGCATGCATGCATCCAAACCACCTATACCTACTTAGCTCTCCACCACCCCTTCATTTCTCCCTTCGACTTGCCAGGCCTTCCCGAGTTCCTACTTCTATTCCCTAATCTCGGGTTCTATTATTCATCTTCGAACAGCCCTTTGCTGGATCCATCCTTCTTTTGTCTCACTCCTCGCCTGCCTGTTAGGAGTGCACTTGAATACCTGCCAGCGTCATCACCAGCTGCCTTGCTATACCCGCTAGTAGTACCCGGCTCTGCTGTTTGAGCGCTACTGCTTTCATTGTCTTGCTCAGATCCGCCGCTGTGGTATAATTTGACATAATACCCGACCAACACTCTTCGTCGGTCCCCTCGACTTAATCCTTCCCATCTATGGCCATCAACTTATACCCCTCCCATTAACGCTACAAACATTTGACACTCACCAAACGACCCTACTGGGGAACCAACCACAAGTCTAACACCCCAAATTCTTACCCATGGCAGCGTCGACTTCTCACAGACGGGGACCTTGGTCCAGCCAAGAAGACCACGTATTGATGTCACTGGTCAGAACGCACGGCGCTCTCAACTGGGTCCAGATCTCACAGACGCTCGGCTCTCGTACCCCCAAGCAATGCCGCGAACGTTATCACCAGAACCTCAAGCCCTCCCTTAACCACGATCCTATCACACCGAAGGAAGGCGACAGAATTGAGGAGTTGGTTGCCCAGCATGGTAAGCGGTGGGCCGAGATTGCCCGTCAGCTCAACGGCCGAAGTGACAATGCCGTCAAGAACTGGTGGAACGGCAATCAAAACCGCCGCAAGCGACTTGACCGCAGGCGTTCCGAGATGTCTGAAGATGGCCATCATCAAGGAGGCAGCCTACCTCATCCACAGGTAGATGGCCACCATCATCCACAGGTAGATGGTCACCATCATCCGCAAGGAGATGGCCTACATCACCCCCAGGGAATTCACCATTATCATGAACGGCGAGCATCTGGGGACAGCCCGAGCCCCGGAGGATTCATGTCAAAACCCTCGCTGTCAAGGCCTTCGCTTCCCCTCCCACCTCTGAGCACTTACTCCACTGGTCCCGGATCATCACGAGCCTTTTCCCACAGCCTCGATCATATGCACGGCGCAGATCTACCCCTGCCATCGCCGTGCTCATCAGAATCTGCAGACTCAGAGTTCGGATCCAACTACACAACATCACCAGTTCGCACTTCCTTCTCGGCCCCCCAACCAGTAGAGCTCCCACCACTGCACGCACTGCCGCAGCATAACCCTATGAACAATCACCCACTGCCAAGGATTTCCAGTCTTGCTACGCCAACACCCGGATCGTTCCAGCAAGGGCCACCGCCCTCCTATGCGGGAGAGCCATCTCCCAAACAGACTCTACCCCCACCGTCGTTCGTGCCTCACAGACAGCCAACGCTTCCTGGCCCTACGGTGTTGCAGTATAGGCCTGGCCCACCGGCTCTCCACCACGAAAGATTGCCACCACGATGCAACTTGCCCACAGCCCCTAACTCTCCCGAGTCCTATATGCTGCCCAAGCCGCAGCCAAGCAAAGACTCCAGGATGGACGTTGCTACATTGTTGACTCCCACGCAGAGGCAGGGCCAACACTAATGACTATGTTTTGATATTTTTTGGGAAGAACAGGGGAAAATTAATGGGATTAACTACCTGTCCCACCCGCAATGATACGATTGCACTAATCTTTCACGCCTAATGAAATCGGTTTTAAACTGGGAAGGGAAATGGTTGAGGCAGCAGGAGGAAAATACTAGAGAATGGTTTGGATTTTTTTAAAATGGCGCAAGGAAGAATTGGATGAGCGATGTTTACTAGGAGTCTTGATACTCAAAGGTACTCAAAAAGCCACAACCCGTGTGGCCTGTCAAATGGCAATAATCTTGGATCTGAATACATTGTGCAGCACTACTTTTCAAAGCCAAGTGCAGGTGGCGCATGGCCAACTCACGAGGGCTGCGCTGTACAAGTGAATGATTTACATGGGTGCTGGCGGTGTCAAGGAGGGCCGGATTAACATCAACATGAACAGCAATACACAGGAAGCAAGGGTTCCAGATGTATGGAGAATAGAAAGCATTGCTATACGCAAGACTTTAATTACTCAGAGCAATTATTACTATCTGTTGACGAATGAGACGAACAGGGTACATCAATGCCGGTATGAAAGTGAGGCCTGGGGCAATTTGAGACAAGCCTGGGCGGGTCCGAGATGCAGGTTTATTGTCTTCTGCATCGTCAATCCTCCTTTGCCGCTTGAATAGCAGAGCATGTTTCACGGCAGCGACTCATCGCTCCCGTATCAGGGCAAGTAGCCAAGCACTACTGACATACCCTGGCGGCGAGAAGAAATGGGAGCTAAAGTGGACTGGAAATTGAGCAGCCTTCCCGGTGGAACCTGGAGCATCACCGGCCGGTGCACAACGGCCAAGTACAAGCGCATGGGAGGCTTTGAGTCAGGCGCGGGAGGTGCTATGTAGGCGTAATTGAGCGGTAATCGTGCATGAAATGTGTATGCAACGTATCAGCAGCCGCTGGCGGTGCCGGCTGCTGTCCTGGAGCTTGGATCGGCCTCGTCCGTGCCCGCGAAGAATACGAAGCCGTAAGCCGGCGTTTGCATTTTTTTGACTTTTTTTCATCTGGTATTTTTTCTTTCATTTACGTTTTTGGAATTCCACTTCATGTTTGCTTTTCACACTACCTAATTCTAAAGATGATGATTGATATTAAACTGGGTTGTTTGATACCTGAGGAAGGAAAAAGTGGCCCTCTCTGGATGGCATGTGTTGGGCGGAGGGCATTATTAGGCTTTTTCTTCCTTTGGCTCTCTTCACATACGTGCCAATCTCCAATGCAACTAGGATCGACAGCGATCTGCAGCAGCCGCCGTTCGCAGAGGTACGTGCTACGTACCGGCGGGCAAAGGCTCTAACCCAATTCCCGCTGGCGACCGTACCGACCTGGGCAGGCACCATCCTTATTACGGGTGGGCTTGGGAGCCGCCCGCACAAATTGCTTTCCCAGCTGGGACGGTTGTGTGGAGATGGGCGAAAAGGGACCCCGGCCGAGCTGGAGAGTTAGGTGGGCAAGCCACAGGCGGGCAGGGGAGGGGGGGGGGTTTGGCTGAGTCGCACGCTGGGATGGATACCGCGGCGGTTGAGAGTCGAAAGTGCAGCACCTCGTTGACGGGCGGGAAGCAGCAGGACCTCAAGGTGCCGGCGCTACCTGACTCGTGGGCATGTGGGCATGTCGAGTTGTGCTCGACGGCCGGCAGGACACGTCGTGTCTTTGCTCCCCTGGGCAAGGGCAATATTGGACTAGGTGGTGGCCTATCGGTTGGTAGTCGTGGCTAGGTACATGACATGGCGAGTGCTGGCCAGGGTGGTGATGTTGGTGGATGGCATCGCCGGCGAACTCGTGGCTCAAGACGGCAGGCCTGGGGGGGCAGAATGGACAAGGGGGGAGTTGAGAAGGAGGGGTCTTAGGGGCAACGAAGAGACCCCTTTGGAAGCAAGGCTGTGGGAGTGTCACCGCTCGTGGTCGAGAGAGCTGACACGCCTGATTTAGAAATGGAGGGGACCAGAATGGAATGGGCGGCACATCCACAGCTCCGGGGAATCGACCAAAGACACTTCCGTGCCGCCTTCCCCGGAGAAGGGAGGGATCGTCAAGAGCCTCCTCGATACCACGCATCATCTCTATTCGGAAGGCCTCTCAATCTCAAGTCAGCGTCGGACGTTGCACGTTGCGCTGTCTAAAAGCCGACCGACATTCTCTACCGGCTGCGGGCTACCCGGCGCTAAGGGGATCCTTTGCACCAGACAGAGTTGCAACGGTCAATGATCCTCGCGCCGTAGCTTGCCTCGCGTTTGGCTTTCCCACTATGCCCTCATAGTCGGTCGTCCGTTAGCCGCCAACTGTTCTAGCGGAGGCGGCTTAAGCCCGGGCTGGTCTAGAGGCCCAGAGTAGCCTCACCCTTTTGGGGGGAGGCGCCCAGCTGCCAATATTACCTAGTCAAATAACCATCCGTTGGTATTCAGAATCGTCTTCAACCGGCCTGGCCTAGCTGACGGGTAGAGATGAACACCGGTGGAGGGGGGTGTGCTACGGAAGCCGACGACATCTTCGCCGTCTCCTTTTGCTCCACGACTATGATAAATGACGTATCATCCATCTACCCAGCTCTATCGAGTTTCGGCGATCCACAGACCGTTTTGCTCAGGCTGTTGGAATAGCTACATACACGTACGGAGAGTTGTTTGCCAACCAATGGGCGGCACGATGCGCGGGCGGGATCATATCTTACATCTGATATTTTACCTTGCTCAGGAACAGGGGAGGAGATTTGGAGGCATAGGTGATGTGAGCAAGAAGCCAGCCCCGGCATTGGCAACGGCAGACACGCATTACCCTACATGCCTTGAGCACGCACGCACTCACAATGTGGGCAGCTGTGGGCATTGACGGCTGCCCACGACCAATCCCATTGCCTGTCGACCCGAGAAGTGCGAGCGTTGGGAAATTTCCCTCCCCCAGCTGGATCCCCCATGCGATCTCCGGCGCCGACATGGTTTCTGCTCATCGAGAATGAAGCATGCCGGCCGTTGGTTGGCTGGCTGGTCGGCGGGCCGGATGCCAGCCAGACCTCCATAATTACATGATGACCCCCCCAGGAAAGGAGGGGGGGGGCGTGCACTTGGGGGTGACGCTTAGTCCAGCTTGGGTTTGCTGTCTCAGGCTGAGCGACCGCACATTAGTGCTAGTAGCCGTTGGGATTACTTTAGTTGGAGGAGAAATTCGGTTGCATGCCAAGCACACGGAACAAAGGGTGATAGTTTGATGGGGGAGGCCCCAGTGGATTACATAGCGAAGAAGAAATTCCCACCGGCGCCGTGTTGCACGACAGAAGAGAGCCCGGGTCGGCTGCCCAGGGCATGGTTCTGGCGAGTCACGCACGGGGTTAGCGATGACGCTATTCATATGCTCATTTCAGGACCCAGGACAGAAGAACCGAGGAAGAGGCGAATTCGATGTCGCCAGTGAGGACGGACCAGAGGAGGTAGTTGCTGTGGTGGGCAGGCGGTCACTCTGCCCCCTCTCCCCCAACGTTGTCATTTCAAGCAGATGACGAGCATCCCTAAGACAAGGCTGCTGTCCTTGTGCGATTGCCATGCTGCTGCGCCTGGGCTGGGGATCGTGCTCGGGTCAGGGGTCAGGGATTGGGGGGAACGACGACGGTGCGTCGATCTCAGAGTCCTTCCCCGTGAAACCAGTCAATGCGTCTACGGCGAAACACTCATCCTGACGGTTTACTGCATCGTATTGAGAAGATTCCCTAGGGACCGGTCAGGACGGGACTATTCGCAGCCGAAACGACGCATGGGGGCTTTACACTTTATGCACGCCGCACGCTTATCTGCCGTTGCAAGGTACATGGGTCGCGGAGAACGCATATATTGGTTCCCTTTTTATGGAGAGAGAGACAGAGAGACGCCTGAGTGACGAAAGGCAGGAAAATAAAGCCAAATCACAAAATAAACTAGGCCCAGACAAGTCTACGGAGCCCATGGTCGGCGGTCCCATGAACGCAGATGGGAAACGGGGGCCAGATCTGCCTGCTGGCAGTGAGATGAGTAGAGAAGCAACCGGTGGAAAGTACGGTGTCTGAGGGTGCATAAGCGCGGCTTGGTTCGATGCTTGAGACTGTCTACCACGTCACGGCTGCATCGTGAAGTGCGTGCAAGAGATTACCGCCAGGTACATGGGCCACATGCATGCATGGTATAGGTTGGGATCCGGCCTGCAGCGATCTCCAAGGTGCCAAAGCATCGGTCGGGAAAGAGTTGAGCATCGGGGCAGATGATTCATGGGGATGGGAGCAAGTACTCCGACAGTGCAAACACTGTGCGAGGAAGCCCCAGCTCCCCCAGCTCCACGGGACATGATTTATCAATATTATGACTGTCTGAAGATGGGGACTAATTTATTGTACGACCCAGCAGCTGGCGCTGGCGCTGGATCCACCCGGCCGTTGCGACCGTTGGCCAGATCCACCGCGATGATTTTCGGGGACCTTGATCGGGCGCTGGCTGTAGCGGTTCCAGGTACCTCCCGACATGCCCATTGTGCTGAGGTGGTGATGCACCACCAGCCCTCCTACGGGCAGACCTGTTCCCACCGCCGTGGATGGCGACTAACTCTCGGTCTTACCCAGCGCCTTGCTCTGCTCCCCCCCACCCAGCCAGCCGGGTCGGACTGACTGAGAGCTGACTCTCAGCTCAGACACGGATTTCCTCATGCTCAAGCTCTCTACATGTACTCCTGCCCATCCCGGGCTCGCTCGCCTCATCCATCCGTTTCCAGGACCCCGGCAGTTGATCAGCGCGAGATGGTGCTACCACGACCGTGCTAGCCCACCGCAACAGCGGCGTCACACAGCGGTGCACAGCCGTACCTACATACATATTGACCGTGCTGTACGGTGTGCCGATCTTCTCCAGCCGACGAATCCCAGCGAGCCCGAAATTTTTCGGACGCACTTAAAATCTACCGTGCCCTGGTTCAACGTCTTCCCTCCGGTCCCAACGACCTCCATTGTATCGGATCGCTCTGCTCTGGCCCGCCTTTTCGCTTTGCTTTTTTCGGACCTCCCATCGCCAAGGAAACCTTTTTTTACCCCTTCGGTCCTCGCACAGCGAACATGATTCCCCTCCCCACCACCGTTACCGTCCCATCCGATAGCATCTCTGCAGCTGGACCAGGGCTTTCGTCTCCCCCCCGCCGCCACCGAAGGAGGGGAGGGGGGGTGTTTACTTTCCAGGCGGTAGCTCTGCACCGGCGCCGGCGATCTGGGCATATTATGGTTCCCAACGGCACACTAGAGGACTAGGGGGGCGAAAACGTCTGTACATATTCCCCCTGTTTTCTATGAAGGTTTCCCCCGATTTTAAGAATACCATGTTGCCAACTACCGGGGATAGCTTCCCACACTAGCTGGGAGCTCTCATGACAGTGGTGGGGAGGGGTTGGGGATTTAGGACCCGTGGTGTACGCCCATGTGAGAGAGGGTCGGCACTCGGGTATCAATCTATTTATTCCACGAGATGAATAGATGGGAGGCCCAATATGCAATGCAATGCGCACGAGGATACGGAGCGCCGATAAGCGCACATTGGTCACGATAGACGAAAACAAACGAGAAAGGAAAAAAAGCAACAAGCAGAAAAAGAAAAACACACAGCCGCGGAGAAAGAGAAAAGACCCCTGCGGACGAAGGAAATACTCCCACCACCCCCCCTTCTCTCTCTCTTCTCTTGATTCGTCCTTCTTTCTTGCCTTTTGTTTTGCTTCTTCCCCATCGCTCTTGGCAGAGGACGATAATTGATGGGTGATGCGTGGAGTGGGTTTTTGGCTGTGTGTGTGCGTGTGTGTGTGTGTGTGTCACTGCCCCCCAAGACGTTTAAAATGAGATGAGTGTGTGACTTCGGTGATGGGCCAGTGTATCGTCGAGGGCCCTCTGGCCTTCTTTGGCGCCCCGGATACACGACGTTCCGTGATCTGTTGATAGGCCAGCTCTGTTTGGTGATTAGTGAACATGCGCCCCGGCTGCATGCGAGGCCAATAGGATGCCGCCAGAGGGAAGCAAGGAGGGCCGAGGTCCCTTTTCTAGCGCAGGTGGTTGGTCTGAGGATCATCATTAACCAATTTATCAGAGCTAGACCGGCCTATGTCGTCGGAGGAAGGAAGGGAAAAAGACGTCACGTTCCAAATCCATCTAGCTCTCTTCTCTGGGCGGAGGATCAGCTCTTGGTGAGGGGCGGATGAAGTGAGAAGGCAAAGAAAAAACACCCCGGTCCGGTAGGAGTGCGCATACGGACAGCTGTGCGAATGACCTTCCATCATCCATCATCATCCCCCCATCCCTGTCCCTGGTCCTGCCTCTCGACCTTCCACACCCTCGAGGGTCCTTCCCGACGTGGTGCTTTTCAGCTGCCTCTGTACCGATGATCTGGTTGAATCGGGCTCGGTTATCTCTTTTGTTCCCGCCTTTTTTTCTTCTTTTAATTTTGCTGCCTGTTTCTGGTCATTCTATCTCACACGCCCCCCCCCCTCCCCATCCCCCAATCCCCGGCCTGGACCCTTTCGGTTCGTCTCCTTCGCCTAGGGATATTACTACTACATTACATTACGTGCGTGCGTACCATGGGATTTTGATAGACGTTTATATGGGTCGTGTACACATGTGCGGCCGGCACCGTCGTCATCTCATCCCATCGGCTCGGTTGTTGTTTTGGTTCGCTTAGTTCCCCGCCTTTTTTTTTCTGTCACAGGGCAATTGGCAGATTCCCATCATAGCAAGGTGCGATTGTCGGTGGACAGGGCTGTCAGTCCCTTCGCCTTGAAGTTTTGGTGTTGACTGATGTTCATTACTCTAGCACACTAGGAAGGTACTAGTCAGGCCAGTCTCACCCGCTCTACCCTACACCCATGATGTGTTAGATATGCGCCGTCTCTCCTTGCCTGCCGGCGCCGCCACCATGCAGAGTGCGAATGCAATGTAATATTGTTGCCTGGAATTCACACTAGTTCGGTGTTCATGTCGGTGTTTTCTAGATCCTATCTTGTGCTAATTTTGTTGAGCTGCACAGACAGCGCAGACGGTTCAGTTGGTGGCGCCGGCGGCATGCAGCCACCCACCGCCCAAGCCCGATGCAGCTCTACAAGCTTCGTCGAACTGAATTGACTTTTTCCCTTCCCCCTTGCGAAATACAAACACCCGCGCCGGATCGCCATTAACCCGCTTGTAACGCCGAGTCTACCTGTCTGCCTAATGCCGTGCAACCAACTAATAGCTCTTCTATCCGCCGAGAACCCGCCGGGCACAACTTGGCTAGCCAAAGACCCATGCCGTTCCCATCTTCGCGATGTTGGGGATTTGGTGGCCGACTGAAACGGTCAACTGTCACATTCCTTCTGTGCAGTTCTTACTGTTGATGCTCTCCCTAGAGATATGCTTTACCGTCGGCGTCGATCTTGCCACCGAAACGTCGCTGGGCAGTTTCCTTGGAACGGCGTAGCTGCGGAAGCCCGTCTTTCATGCCATCTAGGGGTACTTCTCCTGCGCCGGGTGCAGTCGTGCATGTGTAGGTAATGCACTGTTCCTCATCCTTCTTCCTGGATCCCAGTGGAGTATGAGGTGATTTGACAGTTGCATTCTCGTTCCTGGAATGAGTGACACTTATGTCGACCTCGTCTTGCGTCACCATATTACTATCCTCGCCCTCGGCGAATGAAAACTCCCGCTGGTGACGCTGCTTCTCCGCGGCGAAGCTGGGGCTCCCAGAGAGGATTTGGGCTCGTTCCAGTGCTGGGCCGCTCGAGCGCTTCGTAGACCCGTGGATACCACTGCTGGAGCTTGAGGATGAGGATTTTGACGAAGGCGTGCTGGGGACCTCCCGAATGGTTGCGTGGGTTTGTATTATGGAGGTCACATTATCAACTAGAGGCTCCTTGTCTATTTTCATGCTAAGTGTGACATCGCTTTTGGGGTCGAGGATACGCGGGCGGCC